ATGGCTGTGGCTGTAGACATCTTTAGTGCACAGCAGTTAGAATAGTGGTTGTTGAATCTTCAGATTAGAGTGGTTAAAAGGTCATGTACCACACTCTGATATTTTAAACTGATATTTTAACATTTGGGGAGAGTGGGTTTTGCTTAATTTCTCCTTTGCAATGATAATGATGTTTTGCTGAGTCAGGAAATGGGAAGGGAATTTGGAGGTTTTTTTGGAGCACCTAGGATGGAAGGAAGATTGTGGATGCTGCTACTCACTGTCTTGCACTATCCACTATTATCTTAACTAGTAGAAATGGCACAAAGCTAAAGTTCTTTTTATATTTCATGGACTTCTATGGGATTCCTGAAACCTGCCTTGAACCTGAGTGGTCAAAACTTTCTAAAATAATAGACCAACATAATGAGTTTTCCTGACAGCTGATTTGTGCACCCATACATAAGGGACCCTGTGCTCCCACTGAGGACTGGGTTTGTAAAATACACATTTCCCTTTAGAATATCTTTGGAGCCAAGAAAGATGGCTCAGTGGATGAGTGTTTGCTGCCAAGCCTAGTAGCCTGAGTTTGATCCTTTGAATCTGTATGGTGAAAAGAGATAAGTGACTACTGCCAGTTGTCCTCTGACCTCTACACACCCACGCCATAGCAGACATGTGCATGCACATACACAGAGAAAATAAATGTAATTTAAAAAATTTTAATATCCTTGGACAAAATGTACATGCTGTTTTTATTAGGCTTAGCTCTCAGGTGCATACCTATGTCACTTTCCTATGGGGAGTTGGTACTTGTACATCTTGTGGGATGTCTCCTTGGATGATAAGGCACTGCAGCTGTCAGGCTCAGTGTTTGGCAAGCATGATCTCCAATACAAATGATGTGAGTCTTAAGAAAAGCAACTGAGGATTTCTTGATAAACATAAAATTTGCACTTTCAAGAGAAAATTAGAGTTTTGCAAACTTACATCTGTCATTGTGAGCTTGATAGCTTTCCAGTAATTTAAGCATTACTGAGGCAATCCAAGCTGTTACAGATGCCTTTCTTCTCTAACTCAGCATGAAATTCTGTGCTCTAGTGCTTTCTAAATGACCCATGTGTATGTGGTCAGAAGATGCAAAAGACTCAGATAGTGCCAGACAGGCCAGTGGGTTAATACAAGAAAGTAAGAGACCTTGATTGGGCTTTAGAGTCTACAGCGCTGCTGATTTTTGAGACTGCTGCTGTTGATTTGGTGTGGTTTCAAAGAACATCTACAACTATGTAAAGTGAATGACATGCCTCTGTAAGGTGAGACTTTCTTCATAGAGTTCACTCAAAACCATACAAGGCAAAAGCATATTTGGAAATCCTGTTATCTTTTGTTAAGCCAGAGACCTGCAAAAATAAATAATACTACCATTCTTAATGCTTGTGTGATTTTGGAAATAACAAAAAAAAATAAGTATAATAGACTTTTAATAAATGACTTTTCAGAAATAGCAATACATTCCACATAAACAAAAGATCGTTGGAGTCTCAGTGTATTTTGCTGAGACCAAAAGCTTTGAAACCTACCATCTAAGAATGTTAGCCATATACCTTGTTTCTGCTCTCACTCTTCAGCATGTAGTTGGCATTGAATCTTTGGAAGCTCTGTCCCTAACAGCACTGTTGAGAAATGGTAGCTCTTTTTTTGAGGACAAGAACCTCACTAGTATAGCCCATGTTGTCCTTGATTTTGCTACAGTCCTCATATCTGCTCCCCTTGATTACTGAGATTATAAGTGTATGCCATCACACCTGGCTTTAAGTTGTATGTGTGTGTTGTTTGTGTGTGGTGTGTACGTGTGAATGTGCATGCCTGTGTGCCTGGCATTCTGTGTCTTACTCTGTTGCTTTCTACATTATTTCCTTAAGACAGTCTCACTGAACTGGAAGCTTGGCATTTAGCTAGACTGTGGCCATCAAGTGTTTAGGATCTGCCTTTCTGAGCACTTTCTAATGTTGGGGTTACCATTGTAGTGCATGCAGCCATACCAAGCTTTCTATGTGGGTGCTGGAAATTTGAACTTTGTCCTCATGCTTACAAAGCATGTATCCTACTGAGCCACCCCCAAACCCCTACATAAAATTTTAATGCTGTAATTTCATTGTATAATCTGTACTTCTGGTTAACAGCAAACAGTGGGTTTTAGCTGAGAGGTGGGGAAAATGCCCTTTATAAGCATCTGGTTTAGTGGCTCACACCTTTAATTCTAGCATTCAGGGGAAGACTAAAGACAGTAGGATTGCCATGAGCTCTAGGGCATCTTGGCCTAGAGTCAGACCCTGTTCAGAAAGAGACTGAAAGAGATTGTGCATGCGCTTAGAAATGTAGAAAATTAATTGTAACTTTAGTACACTCAGAAATGGTCACTTTTTTCTTCTTTGGGGGAGAAACTGTTAATATGATATGATTTCAATTTCATGGCCACTTTTTATATGGACTGTGCTGTGTAGTGTGCAGAATTATATACTAATTTGGGTTAGAAATGTGACACAATTTTTTACTTATTCGTTAGTGGTGCTAGGCTTGGTACCCTGGACCTTGTGCACGCTAGGCAAGTGTTCATTACTGTGCTATAGCTACAGCTCTTACTTAGTTTTATAAAATGGTCTCCTTATATAACTGAGGTCGTCCTTGAACTAGCCTTTCTCCTATCCTCCCTATCCCTTCAGTACTGAGATTCACATGCCTGTTTCGGTGGTGCAAGGCGCCAACACTGTTTTTTACTTATACCTTATGATATGTTTCATTTTGTTTGTACTTTTGTCGATACATTATGTGCTTTTATTTCACAAACTGAATTTTTAGTAGTTTTCTGCATTGGCAGAGTTATGAAAAAATTTTCAAATACAGAATAATCTATTATGAATGACTTCTGTCTTATTCTACTTAGTAGAAATACCTGAATTTTTGCTTCTTAATATTCAGGAGTATTCTAAATACTTAGAAACATGTTTATTCTTCAGGTTAACCTGTATTTTATAAATGTTGGGCATCTAATCCATGATAGACAGCCACTACCAGTGAGCTCATGTATGAATTGAATCTTCAAAAGAAATTCTTTTTAAGTTATTTTGTGTGTGTGAATGTTCTGTCTGCAAGTATGTCAGTGTACCACATATGTGCTTGTTGCCCGTGGAAGTCAAATGAGGGTGTTAGATTTTCTGGGGATACTCTGGAACTGGAATTGTGGGTACTAGGGACCAAACCCAGGTCCTCTGCATAAGCAACAAATGCTCTTAATTCCTGAACCATCCCTTCAATCCCTATAAATTGAATCTTTTTAAATGCTTTTCATTCCTGAGATTATTGTGGGTTTTTTTTTTTTTTTTTTTTTTTGTCTTTATAAGTACTCGGTATTATAAAGGTGTTTCCATTTTACTCTAAGAACAGTTTCTGACTTCTTGTTTTGTTGTCTGTTTAGTTTTGTTGCTGTTTGTTTGTTTGTTTTTCCCAAGACAGGGTTTCTCTGTGTAGCTTTGCGCCTTTCCTGGAACTCGATTTGTAGACCAGGCTGGCCTCGAGTGCTGGGATTAAAGGCATGCACCACCACTGCCCGGCTGTTTTTGGTTTTTTAAGACAGTTTCTCTGTGTAGCTTTGTGCCTTTCCTGGAACTAACTCTGTAGCCTAGGTTGGCCTCGAACTCACAGAGATCTGCCTGCCTCTGCCTCCTGAGTGCTGGGATTAAAGGCGTGTGCCACCCCCGCCTGGCATCTGTTTAGTTTTTGAGGTGCCACATAGATTCAATCAACCCAAGTCCTGTGACCTGGTCCAGCCAGTAGTTTCTGAACTCTGGAAGTTGATTTTTTTTTTTTTTTTTTTTTTTTTTTTGCTAGCCTTCCATGTGATAGAAGCTATAGTGACCCCCCCCCCCCCCCCATAGCTACATGGATTGGACATGAGGTCTAAATGTCATTGTCACTTTAAGGATGCATGGAATGTTTGCTCTTTGTTTTGGGTTACTAGGGAGACCACAGTTAGCTGGAAGGCAGTTGGAGCCAGGCAGAGAGAGGAGTTAAGAGGTGAGTTCTGCTCAGAATTGATGGCTTTGGCCCTTGTAGTTTAAAAGACTGGCTAGAAACAAAGGCATCTGGAGAGAGTGTTTAGATTATGATTGTATGAAAAAGGAAAGGAGAGGGCTGGTTTGGATGTTAGGGGGCGTAGAGGGTGGGTGGAAGGTATTCTGCTTTTTTGAGATAGAGCCTGAAAACAGTGTCATTAGTTAGGACCTTACCAGGAAGATTGGGCAAAATTAAAATGATTATTTATTTACTTACTTATTTTGGATTGAAACAGTCTCCTGTGTAGCCCAGACCTCTGTAACACATGATCTTCTGTCTGTTTCAGCCTCTGTGTGCTGGGTTACAGATATGTACCACCCTGCCTGGCTCCCAGATATACATAGATAACCATATCACATTGGTGTTTAGTAAATATAAATTTAGTCCTCTAAATTTCTTAGTTTTTAAATTAACTTATGATACTTCTATACTGTTAAGATTTTAAAAAACAATTATATAATTTTGTTATTCAGGCTTTCCGCTTTTTATTTTCTCCTCTCAGTGTTGTGTTTCTTTGTGCTGGGTCTGCTTCATGATAGGCTCTTCTTTTTTTTTTTTTTTTTTTTTGGTTTTTCGAGACAGGGTTTCTCTGTGTAGCTTTGCGCCTTTTCCTGGAACTCACTTGGTAACCCAGGCTGGCCTCAAACTCACAGAGATCCGCCTGGCTCTGCCTCCCGAGTGCTGGGATTAAAGGCGTGCACCACCGATGCCCTGTGCCTTCTTCTCACCTTGCCTTTGACTCTTGTCTGGGTGGCCCCTTCTTTCAGAGTACACCAGTATCACTACTTCCCTATTCTTCAGGTATTTTTGTAGGTCACTCTCAGAGTAGATTTGCTTTTTCTTGGTTGTTGGTGTGTGGTTTAATCACAGTTGCTTAAGATCTGTAACATGTTTTCCCTTTCCTGTAGGAGCTTGCTCAGGAAGCAGTCTACACTGTCCCTTTGGTTGTTGGAAGCTCCAGAATCTTCTCACTGATGAGCTAAGACTGACAAAGGTGTGGTGAGACTTGGCTATCTGCTGGACCTGGTTTCCAGGTTTATTGTTATATGTAGGATTTTTCAGCCAAAGATTTCCAAGCTTTCAGTTTAGGGACAGGTAAGTGGCATTATTAGTATAAAGAAATTAATATAATGTAGCATTTATATGTGTTTTTAATAATCTAAAGTATCAGATTTTATACTCTTAACTTGAGCACAGCTTTGTTTAATGAATGGCCATTGTTAAGAATTTGTCTGGTTGTTTCTTTGTTTTCACTTTGGCTATGTTATCATTTTTTTAAACCTTAATTGTGTAGTTTCTGTCTGATGAGAAAATAATTTTTTGTTTGTTTGTTTTTTGTTTTTGTTTTTTTTCGAGACAGGGTTTCTTTGTGTAGCTTTGGAGCCTGTCCTGAAACTTGCTCTGTAGTCCAGGCCTGCCTCTGCCTCCCAAGTGCTGGGATAAAAGGCATGTGCCACCACCTCCCAGCACGAGAAAACAATTTTGTAGAGGAAAAGTGGAGTTGCCTCCTGGGTCCTGGGCTGGAGGACTTCTTAGGAAGGCTGGACAGGGTGGCCCCTAGACTACACTCTGAGTAGAGATGCAGTATTGCCTGAAGTTAGGATGCAGCTGTCTTGCTTCAGCCTGTGTCTGGAGTATGGCTCAGTGGTAAAATAGGAGAGTTTAGTTTAAAAGTGTTTTGGTGCAAAGCTTGTTTTGCATAAACAGCAAGACCATACTTCTCTCCCCCAAATTTTCTGACTAGAATGAACAAGCCACTATAGGAGGCACAGTTTGATATTTACTCAGCTCTGTGTATTTAATTTTTTTCTTAATTTTTAGAATTTTTAACTTTTATGTGTATGGACGTTTTGCATGATTGTGCACCATGTGTATGCAGTGTCAACAGAGGCCAGAGGTGCTGAGGGTAGAATAAGTTATTAGCTCTCTTGTGGGTGCTGGGACTCAAGCTCAGATTCTGAAGAGTAGCCAGTGCTCTTAGCTGCTGAACATCTCTCCATCCCTAGCTATGTTTATTTAAAAGGAATACACTAGGTGGGCATCGTGATGATGTCTTTAATCTCAGCAGTGGGGAGGCAGAGGCAGGTGGATCTTTGAGTTCAAGGCCAGCCTGTATAGCATGAATCTTAAAGAGTCTTATTAATAAAAACAAACCTGGAGCCAGGTATTGGGGTGAATGCTGGAAGATCAGAGAAGCAGAACAAGCCACAGCTAACCTCATCTGGCCAACTTCTCAGCTGATCCTGTTTCCTCAGACTAGATGCCTCTCAGCTGAACTGTGCTGCTCAAAAGCCTAAAAGCTTAACCAGCCAAATGCTTCTAGTTTCTGGTCCTTACACCTTATATATCTTTCTACTTCCTGCCATCACTTCCTGGGATTAAAGGCTCTTGTTAGCACTCCTAGCTGTTTCCAGTGTGGCTTTGAACTCACAGAGATCCAGACGGATCTCTGCCTCTGGAATGCTAGGATTAAACGCATGTGTGCCACCATTTTCTGGCCTCTGTATCTAGTGGCTGTTCCGTTCTCTGACCCCAGATAAGTTTATTAGAATGCACAATATTTTGGGGAACACAGATTCAACACAAGCCTGGTCTACATAGCAAGTTCTAGGAAGTGATTATTCACTCAACAGCTTCACAAGGCCTAAAGGTCAAGGTTAGAGGGTGATAAAGATCAGTGCTTGGCAGCCTCTGTAGCTGAGTGACAACTATTTACTAAACTACTAGGAAGGAAAACAATATTTAGGGTACTAATAATTTTAAGTTTTCTGTGTTTTGCATTTTTAGGGTTTTCATTTAATACCAATCCTTTCCCTAAGATGGAACGTGCAATAAAATCATTCATCACTAGCATTTAAATGCTATTAAAGCCTGGACAGCTAGGAAAAGAATTCTCAAGGTATATACCTTTTCCAATTTTGTCATTTTAAGCAATAATGAAAATTTCATCTTTTAGAGAGAAAGTGAAAGACCTGAGTGTGTGGTGGTACATGTTATAGTCTCAGCACTTGGGATGCTAAGGCATGAAGGTCGCCACAAGTTTAAAGCAGACCTTTGCCACATAGTAATAGCAAGACCTTAGGGAGGGATACAGACATGGGGATACTTGGGAGGAATATACCTTGAAGCTGTTGTTTACTTAAATCAGTAGGTACAGGCAGACTAAACAAACTGTGGTCAGGAATCTGGGCAGTTGTTCTTTCTTGGTGTCCACAAGAGTTACTCTATGCTCAGTTGGTTCTATTTTCCGGACACTGTCCTTCCCAGTCTAGGCCCTGGATGAGACTAGAAAAGCCAGGGCCAAAGCCCCAGCCAGACATGGCCAGACTTCTGTGGATAGGCCCAGATGTGGCACACACCATGCGCCTTGTGCTCATTGATGGTCATGAGCAGCCTGACACTACAGAGTGCCTTGAGAATGGTATGGCCTCTATAAGTTACCTCACATACACACCATAGGACACAGTGATCAGAAGCATTAAGTTTATGTGCAGTTCTGCTCCTCTAAGAAAATGTCCTATCTTGCCACTGTTGGTAAGGGGCACTCATTAGGTGTCCCTGGTATGCCATCTAAGACTAGATGGTGTGGTGGCTTGGCAGTTTGTTGGTCACAGTGTGATTGCCTTTTCTCATTAGGTATGGATGATAAAGGGCACCTGAGCAATGACGAAGCACCCAAGGCTATCAAACCCACCAGTAAAGAGTTCAAGAAAACCTGGGGGTTTCGAAGAACCACGATTGCCAAACGTGAGGGTGCAGGAGACACCGAGGTAGACCCCAGTGAGCAGCCACCACAACAGCATAGCCTCTCCCTGCGCCGCAGTGGACGGCAGCCAAAGCGTACTGAGAGGGTAGAAGAGTTCCTTACCACAGTTCGCCGCCGAGGAAGAAAGAGTGTGCCAGTCTCCCTGGAGGATTCCAGTGAACCCACATCCTCCACGGTCACTGATGTGGAAACAGCCTCGGAGGGGAGTGTGGAGAGTAGTTCTGAGATTAGAAGTGGCCCTGCACCTGGCTCCTCAGGGAAGGAACATCCTGCCTCTTCCGAAAAGGCAAAAGGAGGTGATGAGGAAGAAGACACCTCTGACAGTGACAGCGATGGCCTTACTCTGAAGGAACTTCAGAACCGCCTTCGAAGAAAGCGAGAACAAGAACCTGTGGAGAGGCCCCTGAGAGGCATTCAGAATCGCCTGCGGAAGAAGCGCCGAGAGGAGGACCCTGCTGAAACTGGGAGTGCCCTAGCGGGCAGTGCTGATGAGAGTGCACCTCTCTGTAAGCAGGAGCCTGAGGCTAGTCAGGGACCAGTGTCCCAGTCAGAGAAAGAGGACAGAGAAAATCAGTCAGAGGGGATATCAACTCAGGGAAGTAAAGAGGAAGGCCCCAGGGATGTGGGCAAACCAAAGCCTGAGTGTGAGGTTTACGACCCCAATGCCCTGTACTGCATCTGCCGCCAGCCTCATAACAACAGGTAGGTGGGGGGAGGGAACTTGCCCATTTTCAGAGAGCCAAGGGATGGAGACAGCAAGAGGACTCCCGTTTGCCTTGATGCCAAGGAGCCTAAAGCTGGGCTTGCCAAGCAGTTGGTTTATTGAAAAAAGATGAATGAGTGCTATGAAAAAAGAAACAAAAGGAGTGCATACATGTGGACTGCCTAGAGCACCCCCTCCACTGTGGCAGTCACATATGGTCACTTGTGTACAGTCAAAGTGTCCAGCATGAGATGAAAAGCTCACTGCCTCAGTCTCTCAAGCCATGTGTAACCAGTGGACACTGTAGATAGGTGAGAACCATCTGTTGTCCCAAAGATCCAATGGAAGAGTGTTACTCAGGATATGACTGCATCCAGTGTGGTCCTTTGCATGAGTTGGCTGCCAAGTGGTGATGGGGCGTCCAAGTGGGGTTATAGGAGATGAAGTTGCTGCTGCTGCTGCTGCTGCAGCATAGAGATACTCTGAAGCCTCTAGTTCACTCTTAAAGTGGTCCATCCAAAAGATGAAGGGCTGAGGATATAGCTCAGTAGGTAGAGTGCTTGCTTACCATGCATGAAGCCCTGGGTTTGATCTCCAGTGCCTCAAAATGGTGAGGTGGCGTATACCTGTAATCTCAGCTTTCAGTCGAGGCAGGAGAATCAGAAATTGAATATCATCCTTGGCTACATAGAGGGTTTGAGACAAGAGAAACTCTGTCTCAAAAAATAAGTAAATAGAAAGAAAAAATAGGAAGCCGATTTGGAATCCTGGTAACAAAAGGAAGGGCACATGAATGTTTTAGTTCTGATTTCATTTTTTACTTTATTTGCATGTTTTTCATAATGAAATGTTAAAAGTTTGACTTGGTAATGTGTTAGACGTAACTACATAATCTTCCCATTTCAGGTTTATGATCTGCTGTGATCGATGTGAGGAGTGGTTCCATGGAGACTGTGTGGGTATTTCTGAGGCCCGAGGGCGGCTCCTGGAAAGGAATGGGGAAGACTACATCTGCCCAAATTGCACCATTTTGCAAGTGCAGGATGAAACCAATGCCAGTGCCTCTGATGAGCAGGACCCTGGGTGCAGACCTATAGGTGCTGATGGCACAGACTGTACAAGTATAGGGATAGTAGAACAGAAGTCTGGTGAAGACCAGGGGATAAAGGGTAGAATTGAAAAGGCGGCAAACCCCAGCGGCAAGAAAAAACTCAAGATATTCCAGCCTGTAAGTATCTGTCTGCCGTGGCAGGCACAAATGTCAGACTTACTGCTGATAAAACACCAAGATTAGGAAGGTGCCTTTCCTTTGGAATAGTTAGGTATTTTGTGGGGACAGATACTTTATCTCGTCTGGGTCTGAGCCCTGTAAAGGCACATCCTGCTATTGCTTCTATCTTGTATCAGCTTAATGGCATTTTTGCACACATTTTGTCACTGAGGTTGGCCTCCAGTTTGTGACCCTCTGCCTTAGGTATATACCACCAACATGCTCTAATGGAGCTTTCAAGGGAAAATTACCCATCTGTCCAGAGTGCTGTTGACATGTTCTTGTTGTTCATGTTTTGAGTGCTCAGAATTATTGAGAGAAAGGTGACTTGCATTTCCCTCTTAGCATCTTGTTACAGACCATGATGTTCACATTTCCCATAAACTAAGTAAAACTAACAGTCTTTGCTGCTAACGAGAGCTATCTCTTCTCTCTGCATTGCATTTCTCATGAGGAGTGCCACTATTATGTGCATTTTCATTTTGGATCCTTAACCTTCATAGCCTGCCCTCCAGTAGGTGTAGAGTCTAGAATGTCACTGCCTTAGCATTCATTGTGTGCTGCAAGATGAAAATGTGGTGTTGTTAGCACCGTTTACTAAAGGAAGTTGTCAATTTGATATTTTTATTGCCAATATGTTAGACATGGCCTGAATTTTATTCTGTGTAAACTTAGATTTGGTAGAAGAAAAGCAACTAAGTTAAATATTTAACCTGAAAACTGACATTTTGTGCCTGAATAGGTGTAAGGGACATGTCGATGTGTACTTAGCTTTTCCATCAATATAACATTAGAAGTTGTAAGCAGAGACATCCATATGTGCTATTGCCAGTGTGTTGTTTCTGCTGCTGTGTTACAGACTTAGCTTAAAATTCCACTTCTAGTCTCCATGGGTCAGATCCTGGTACAGAGCCCTGACCCCTAAGGGGCACAGAGTTTTTCTAAGGCTTCAGCTTGGCTGGGGCTGTGGTCTCATTAGAAGGTAGCTAGAGATGACCCTCTCTGGGGGCTCTCAAACTGTCAGACATATGTTCCATTCAGTCTTTCCAAATGCATATTTGTCTCATCCAAAATGCATATTTAATTGGGTATCCTGTGTCTTTTGGCAGTATTACCACCACCCAAAAAAGGCTGCCTTTCTTCAAAACCAACTGGATCTCTTCTCTTTTAGAGAATGGCACATTTTTTCTTTTAAGAATTTTCACCTGAGGGCTGGGTGTGGCAGAGCCCACATTCTGGAGGCAGTATGAGTTTAAGGCTTTCCTGGTCTATATAGTGACTTCCAGGCCAGCCAAGACTACATTAGGAGACTTGTTTTTTCTCCTGGGTGCCTGGAAAGGTAGCTCAGTGATTAAGAACACTAGTTGCTCTTCTAGAGGATCTGGGTTCAATTCATAGTACCCACATGGTGACTCACTGCCATCTGTAACTCAGATGTTAGGGAATTGGATGCCCTCTTTTGTCTTCTGTGGCACTACATGTAGAAAGACACACATGTAGGCAAAACACCTGTACACATAAAGGAATTTTCACCTGAGCCTCTGAGATGGCTCATTGAGTAATGGTGCCTGCCATCAAACTGATGACCTGAGTTATCACATGATAAAAGGAAGGAGCTGACTCCTGAAAGTTGTCCTGACCCCAGCTGTATACATGTGTGCACTTACACACACACACACACACACACACACACACAGAGTAAAAATTTTAACATAATTTGTAACTCATTAAATAAACATTTTGACTTTTTTCATAATGTTTTATTTTTAATGTGTATGTCTAGGGAGGTAATGTATACAGTTCAGGTGCCCTCAGAGGTCAGAAGTCTAAACTTATAGGCAGTGATGAGTTCCCTGACATGGTCTTCTGTAAAAGCATTCCAAGCCATATTTCCAGCCCTGCTCTGACTCTTGATATCGTTTGGGACCTGCACATGTTTTCTGTAGAGGGCATGTTGATCTGAAGCTCTCATGTATATAGAGCTTGCTAGGACAGTTAAGGGGGAAATGAGTTTGTATAGTTCACATAAACAAAGACAGGGTCTTACTGTGTAGCCTAGGCTGGCCTAGAACTTGGGAATCTTCGACCTTCCTTTCCCAAGTGCTAGAATTAATTGTATTAAAGATTGTGCCATCATGCACAGCTAACAAATAAAAATAGATTTTTATTCCTATCAAAAATATTGTTAGAGCCAGCCATAGTGATAGACACTTTGCACCTTTAGTCGTAGCACTGGGGAGGCATAAGCAGGTAGATCTCTGAGTTCAAGGCCAGCCAGGGCTGCATAGCAAATTTCAGACTAGCCATAATTTAATAGTGAGACACCCTCTCAAAAACCACCCGAACAAACAAACAAAAATACCACTAGTGTCACAATCGCAGTAACCATCAATGCCATCAGTAGTGCTGTCACAGCAGTCACTACTAGTGTCAGTACATACATTGTCTGAAGTCACCTGTTTCATTCTGCAGGTCGTAGAGGCTCCTGGTGCTGCTAAGTGCATTGGCCCTGGGTGTTCCAATGTAGCACAGCCTGATTCAGTGTACTGCAGTAATGATTGCATTCTCAAACACGCTGCGGCTACCATGAGATTTCTAAGTTCAGGTAAAGAACAAAAACCAAAACCCAAGGAAAAGGTCAAGATGAAGCCAGAAAAGTTCAATCTTCCAAAATGCAGTGTTCAGGTAAGCTGACCAAAGTCACCTTCAGGACAATTGAAAAATTAAAACAGGAAGTGTTTGAAAGTACTCTTTATAGATTTGTTTCTGTTTGCATGAGAAGTGCAGGGAACAACAGTTGTCAGTAAAATCTAGATCACATTTTCCTTATCTCTTCCTCATTTGCTGAGGGATTAGAATACAGTAAAACAAGCAAGCATGTGGCTTTTTTTTCCCCTTTCTCAATCCCTGCCCCCAGGGTCTCACTATATAGCTTTGGCTGTCCTGGAACTAGTTCTATAGACCAGGCTGGTCTCAAACTCACAGAGACCCTCCTGCTTCTGCCTCCTGAGTGCTGGGATTAAAGGCATGCACCACCACCACCTGGCATATGTGGCTTTTTTTTCTTTCTTTCTTTTTTTTTTTTTTTGAAGAACCAAGACCTCAGAATGTGTACCACACAGAGCCTTGTGCAAAGTCCACTTGGCACTTAAAAAAGGACATGGGTTCTGGGCAAGGCTCTGTGTCTTGTATAAGATAACAGTGGTAGAGTGCCTAGCATGCAGACAGTCTTATGATTTCTGTCTTTTGGTTTTTCAAGACAGGGTTTCTCTGTGTAACAGCCCTGCCCGTCCTGGAACTTGCTCTGTAGACTAGGCTGGCCTCAAACTCATAGATACCTGCCTGCCTCGGCCTCCCCAAGTACTGGGATTAAAGACATGTGCCACCACCACCTGGCCAGTCTTAGATTTCTACATATGCCTTGGGGAGAGTGTTTCCTTTGTTTTAAAGGAAGTTCTGTAGCCCAGTCAGGCCTTGAGCTTGGTTTTCTTCCTTTAGCCTCCCACTCAGCTGGGATTACAGACCTGTGCCATCAAGCCTGGCTAGATAACTTTTTTTTTCCTCCAAGCCTGTCACCTTGGATCTTACTCCCAGAAAAGTAGTTGCTCTATGTAGTGTGAGGGTCATAGTACAGAGCATTGGGGTCTGGCCACAGTTTCCCAGTGGGCAGATTTTCCACAGGGAACGCAAATATCATTTGTTCTCCACAGGTCCTAATGCCCACATGCAGGCCCTTTCATTTTGTTTTTAGCTTGTTTCATTGTCTTGCTGAGAGGGGTTCATGCTGCTTTTATCTTGGCTGGTTCATGCCTCAACTAGGTTACGGACAGATCTGGGTCAGGAACCTTCACATTACCCAGATGTTACATGGGAATGCTAAGGGTTATTGGATGTAGATGTAACCATATGGAATCACAAGATTCTGCTCAGCTTGTGTGAAGGGTCTTCAGATATCAAAATAAAGGCAGTATTATATCTCTAATGGGTCTCTGAAGCAAAGGTATCATTTCAGACCTTAATAATTGGGATTTCACTGATTATCCAGGCGGGGATTAAAATCTCTTCTGTGCACAAGAGACTAGCTTCAGAGAAAAAAGAAAACCCAGTGAAGAAAGTGATGGTGGCTCCTAGGAGTGAAACTTCAGGGAAGGAGGTAACCTGTGAAAGCACCACACCATCCTGGGCAAGTGACCACAACTACAATGCCGTGAAGCCAGAGAAGCCAGAGAAGCCCGAGAAGTCTGAGAAGCCCACTGCACTCTCACCCACCCTATTGAGTAAATGTACGTATCACCCAAAGGCTGGCTTCCCAGGCCCCTCCCATCATCTGGATGGCTGCTGGGGCTATCTAGGACTGGAGTCCTGGGTATTCTGGTGCTGCTGGTAGCTAGCAGCTCACGGCCAAACCGAAACAAATACCAAGATGCCTCTGGACCCCAGGTGTTCCTGACTGGCCTGTGGAGCTTCTGTGGGTGTTTCCTAAAGAGCTGAGTAGGCCTCGATACTGAGAGTCTCACATTGGAGGCAATTTCTTATTTCAGTTTCAGGCTTTGGTAAGTATTTGCACTGCTCTCAAGATGGGACTACATCAGTGCACTGTTCAGACTCCAGGCTCAGTACTGTACAGACACCAGTTCCTCACAGAACAGCCATGCATAAACCATGAGGAATTTTTCCACATTACCTATTTCTGCACATGAAGTCGTCACTGCTCTTCTATAGCAAAATCGATTTTTCAGGAGCTAAGAAAGGACAGGTAGATAATTTGCTTGTGTCTGTTTCACATACTACATACCTACATAATAAACAAGTTCACATTTTGAAGGTCATCATTTGTTGCAGCTCAGACCCCATGGTGAGTAATCATGTTGACCTTTACACTAGGGCAGTGTCCTCATCTAGGGGAGAATTGTGGTTAGTGGCTTCCAGATTACTTTTAGATGTTTAGATTATTAGTCTGACCCAGATTTCAAATAATTGAAATGGCAGTAGTTTGAGTAAATTTCGGAAACCCCAGATTAGATCACAGAGTATGGATCCATTCTTGTCTCATAGCCCCCTACTCTTCAAGGCACACCCTTTGTACAGTGGTTTCAAGTGAATTTTTGATTGTCCTTCTCTGCCCATCCTTAGCCCCAGATAGGGGCTCTTATAGCCCAGGCTAGCCTTAAATTTGCTTTGAAGCTGAGGATGACCTTGAACTTGTGAGCCTCCTGCTGCCTCCACCTCTAAAGAGTATTGAGATTTACAAGCACGCACCTGATTTATGTTCTGGGGTATGAACTCAGGGCATATAGTCAAGCAACCTACCAACTGAGCTGCATTTCTAGCTCATGATCTTCAACTTCTGATCTTCCTATCTTCGCTTCCTGGGTGCTGGGATTATAGGCATGTGGTACTGGGGGTCAAGCCCAGAACTTCATGCCTAACTAGGTAAGCACTACTCTGTACCCCACGCCCACTAGTGCATTTTGTACCCTTTTTAAAGCATCAGGGTTAGAGAGCCCTGAATGCTGTAAGTATAAACATGGTACATTTCTTATTAGCCTTTCATCAAGATAACTAAGGGAGAGACCTCTTGCAGGTAGGTTCACAAAATGAGAATGCAGTTGTGCATGGTGTTGTAGACCTAGAGTTCTAGCATAAGAGAAATTGAGATGAGGATTGTGAATTCTAGGCTAGCTGGGATTACAGAGTGAGAACCTGACTTTAGGGCAAGTGAGAGGGAAAGGAATGTAAAAGACCCAAGGAAAGGAGTAAATTAGCCTACTTCACTGCATTATGAGTAGTGAGTTTTATGTTTGCAGATGACATGTCTCGTCTCAGGTGTTCTCTCCATCACAGCACCTCTACAACATCAGCATTATGAACTAATGAGTAGACTTAGAGCCAAGTACCACCTCTGAGAATAGGGAAAGGCCCACCAAGTGTAGGGCTCAAGTGCTTTAAGTGTCTGTAGACCTGACAATAAAGGATAGAAACTTGGGGGCTGAAGAGTGATTACAACTTGATTCATCTTTATTTGTATGCCCAGAATGGAAAAGCTGCTCTTGAACTTCTGACTCAGGGTCTCTCTCACTTTAGAAACAGTTACTAGTTTCAGTTTCAGACCCTGGTAAGTATATTGCCTATGTGACGTCATACACGGTCCTGTGCCCTGGAGAGAGGATATTGTTGAGGAAGATGGGGGATAGTGGGCCTGAAATCTGAGTACTGTCTTCTGTCTCCCTTCCATGAGGTTGGGAGAGATGGAAGGCTTCCCAGGGGTCAACAAGGTGACTAGTTTATTTTTATTTTTGTTTTGTTTTGAGACAGGGTTTCTCTGTGTAGCCTTGGCTGTCCTGGAACTCACTCTGTAGACCAGGCTGGCCTCGAACTCAGAGATCCACTTGCCTCTTGAGTGCTGGGACTAAAGGTGTGTGCAGCCATTGCCTGGCTGGTGACCAGTTTCTATGCTCAAAGGTTCTTTTTCTTTGACCTGTCCCACCTTGTCTTACACATTGGCTCTTTAGTGGAGCTGATGGGCTCCAGGAGCAGGAACGTGGGACAAGTTAACTGATTAATCTCCCCAACATACCAGCATCTCAAAATTGACCGGCATTCAAAATACAGCATGCACCAGGACATGTTTCTGAACCAGTTGCTTCTGTTTTTTTCCCTTTATCCCATGAATGTTACTTCCAAACATTGAGAGTGGTGTCATCAATGAGGAACAGTGTCCCCTCTCTGCCTCTTGCTGTCCAAACAGGGCCTGTCCCCTTTGACCCCTCTTCCCCTGCACAGTGGGAAGGTACTGTGCAACTGTGACCCAAGGACTCTGGCCCTGTCTCCCACTGCCTGTGTGCAGAACACAAATGAGGGGGAGGGGGATGGGGTTCAAAGTGAAACCAGTGCTGGGAACACTTCCTACAATCTTCTGAATGGATGTTCACCATGTACACTGTGAGAAGACTGCATGGCAGAGCTGTGACCTGCTGCTGCCCTCTTGAGTGGATACAGACAGGCAGCATGCTGCCTGCACAGGAAGCCATTCTTCTACATGCAGGTGATTCAATTTCACGAACAGTTGTTCCTCTGATAATTTTTTCTAGAATATCTGTACAATTTCCTTAAATTATAGAAACAATTGTCATTTTTAAAGTTCCCAAAGATCCTAATATTTCTGTTATCCTTTTTTGTTTCCTTCTGTGTTTCTTTATTTCCACTGACACCTCCTATTGTCGGGAGGGAAGGGGGCTGAACACTTGACTAAAATATTCCTGGTTTATTAGTTTTGAAACAATTTTGTATTTATACTTGTATGCACAGTAGTATTTTGGACTCACTAAATGGCTCATCAAGTGACTTAAAACACTAGGTGTTTGAATAGGTCTTGACATGACAACACTGCATCTGGCTGTGGGGATTTAATGGAAAACCCCAAAGGCCTATAAACCCAAGTCCTGGGGATTGACTCCATCCTACCCAAGTGGAAACATTTTCCTTGTTGATGGATGCATCCTGCACAGGCGACCAGGTTGGGTAGTAGATGAAACAGGGAGAACATGGGTTTTAACCAGGTTATCCCAAGGTGTGGGCTCCAGAAGCGCATTTCATGGGATCATGAAGGAACCAATCCTCTGTAGTATGTGGAGGTACTAGAAACCTAAAACTAAGGGTGGGCCTGTGTTTTATCAGCTGTGTGAGCCGTTTATTTGTCTCCAGAGTTAGTGGCAATAAAATGGGGATGGGGAGCAGCTTTGCACATTCAAACCAAGCCTCTCCCAAACAAACTTGGCAGTATTTTCTAATATACATAGCGCTGAAACTTACTAGGTTGTCAGTTAAATTCTTTTGGTACTTTAAATCATTTTGCATTTTACAAATCTTTAAAAAGCCTATTGTTAAAAATTGGATCATAGCACAAACTTGAACCTGCCAAGTGAGCCCCTAAGAATACTACAGTCTGTCCTACAGCTGTCCCTGTGTGTCCTTCACCTCTCTGAATTACCTTCCTGTAAACTTAAGGAGCTGTGGATCCAAGGGTTAACACTCCAAGAAAAATCCTTTGATTGCATTGCTGATGTCAAGAGTACAAAGGTCACCTCTGAAGATGCCTACCACGATTCCTCATTAGTCTATTTGCATAAAGTGTTAAAATGCTTTTGCTACACACCAACATGCACATAGTTAACATGCTTAGTGTCCAAAAGTTAGTAAATGTAGAAGATCAGATTCTTTCCTACTGAGCAACGTTGGTTTGCCACAAACCTGGAAGAGCTCAGCAAGAACCTAAGGTAACTGGTTGCATTCTCTTCACCTGGTTCTCCACTGTGCCTCTAGCTTTGGACCCTTTAGGTCTAGTGGGTCCAAGGAAGGCACATGGATTGTTTTAACATGTTCCTGTCTTGTTAGTTTCAGTAAACAATTTAGGTACAAAGAAATAATGGTTAAAAATGAACTTTACTGAAGTCATCAGTGCCTGTGTTTGGAGAAATCTGAGAAACAGCAGCTCGGCTCCCACATAGCTGGGCAGACAGAACACACCCCATGGCCTTCAACTGCATTCCAGCCACTAACATAATGTATGAAATTAACATTACCAACCCAACATGATTTAAGTTAAAAATTTCAAGATACTATGTGAAATGGTTAAGATAATTTGCAAGTTTCTTAGAGTTGGTTTCTACATTAAGATGGAAGTCAAATACTGGACATCAGTAAGAAAATTTTGGTTTTCATCCCTAGAACATAGCAGTTGGATGTGGACCTCTACAGGGTCATTGTAGTCACAGTGGGCATCTGAGGAGCATCTCTGATACGGCCTGTGCTGCTTTTGTCCAGGTCTCATTTTCTTATATAAAAGTAAATCAGTACCTGCACTTTAAATGGTCTCAATACAATAGCCCTGGCTATCCCTCCCTTACAGTCCTGCCTCAGCCTCCTGAATCGTGAGATTACAGGCATGTGTATGAGGCCTTGATAAAGGAGTGTTTATTTGAAGATACATGTTTAGGGATAGAGAGTAACCTCCAAACATTTTCACTCTCTACTGCCTCTTTACTGAGAAGCGGTGCAGTAAAACAATGCAAAACCCTGTGTTATGTGGTCCACAGCTGAGGAGCAGAATTCAACCTGGTGCTGGTTATGGCCACTCCTCAAAGCAGTTCCCTTGAGAGTGCTGGAGGTGAAATATCTGCTTGGGGACAAGCTATGCCAGCCCCCTGTAAGGGCAGTCAACAGGCAAAGTGGGGTGGTTGGCACTCTGTAGATTTGGACCCCTGTCTTGTGTGTGGACCCTGCTTCCCATTAGGCTTCGACTTCCATGCAGTTTCAGGGTTTTGCTTGGTGAGCACCTGAACAGGGTTTGTGCCCCCAATTCTTTCTCCTTCCCTCCATTGTGGGTCATTGCTGCCCTCTGGTGGCCAAAAGTGCTTTATCCTTTCTAGTGAACCCATGGTGTGACGAGAGTAGTTTAGCTGTTGCAATCCGTACAGAACAGTCTACTTCTATACTCCATCAAACTTGAAGCAGCTGAGTTTCCATTACAAACAAGAAGTGGGCTTGGCAGCAGTTCACCTAGAATAGTGGTCAACAGCACTGGAAACACCTTCCTACTACTCATTGTTGGTCAATAGCTTCTTGCCCCCACAAGAGGGCAGAGAAGGATACTAGCAGAATGGCTGAACTAGCGGGGTGGGCATGTGGATGGGAACCCAGTATTGCCCTTTGCCTAGTGGAACCAGGTATGGCTCTTGTTAGCCAGCAGAGAAAGCACACAGTGGAAAGTGCTGTTTGTAAGATAGGTCTCCTCTTGGTTACAGCTATTTAATTTTTATGCAGTATGCAGCTAAAAGTAAGTTCTGGGGCTGAAGTGGCTCAATGATAGAATATTTGCCTAGTACATACAAGGCACTGGTTTTGAACCAAGGGGTTGGGGAAGGGGATGGAATAAGGATTTAAAAATTCATTTATTGTTCTAATCAAAAATGAAAGTGAATCCTCGTTGGCATTGCAGCAGTTACTGCTCTTAAGTCAACATCACTGCTTTTCCTACTTACAGGGGCTAGAGGAGCATGCCAGTGTCTTGAGCAATGGCAGTGCATTTGACCCCCTCCAGAATAGAAGAGGGCTTGGTGTGTCAAGATGCTGGTAGGCAAATGGCTAGTGACATCCATCATTTATGAGATGTAGCTGCCAGTTACATAACCTTTTACACACAGCTGGAAGTGTCGCTAAAGTGTCCTGATGATTTGGCCTTTAATGGGCAAAAGCCACTGGAGCTGCAAGACTGTAGAGTGATGGCTAGAGAGCTACATTTAGTGATGGATGGTATTCAGATATGTCTGCTCTTAGGTCATCAGGTGTGTCCTGGGAGCGTTAAGAATAACCAGAATGCAGTCAGACCAAAAGAGAGATTGGGTCTGTTGTGGAACCCATGGCTTTGGAGTCCACATTTGTAACCAGGAACAAAAATATCACTGAGATGTTTCAGGCCATATTGCTGCTATGTGGAGGGGTTTGTTGAGGTTCTGGCAATGTGTTGGTTTTATAGAGGGGAAGACAGCTGGTTTTAGATCTCGCCTTTGTTACCACTTCACTCTTGCAGTTGTCCTAAAGGGCTGGCAATCGAATACACACTATACCCCTGGCCAGTGTCAGCATCTCATGGAGCACTTGGTCTTTACTGTTCCGAGTGCTCATTCCTTCGTTGGCCCTTCCTCAAAGGAGTCTGCACCTATTTTTTTCTTCCATGTAACCCAGCAACCAGACATATAGGTGAATTGTTGAATAGCCCTGGAGCTCCAAGTTAGACTACCACTGCAGAGTCCTCGGACGTTGACCTTGATCTATGGGAAACATGGCTGTACTCCTTGGCTCAGAACATGCTCTTTTCTAATAAACAATTATCTTACACACTGTATTGTAAATTTATATATATATATATATATATATATATATATATATAATATATATGTCCTTGACAGTTTAAAAAAAGAAAAGTACATTCTGAGCCAGGTGGTAGTGGCACACACCTTTAATCCCAGCACTCGGGAGGCAGAGCCAGGTGGATCTCTGTGAGTTCGAGATCAGCTTGGTCTACAGGGCGAGATCCAGAACAGGTACCAAAACTACACTGAGAAACCCTGTCTCCAAAAACCAAGAAAAGAAAAGTATATAAGTATATTCCATTGTTCAGAGTGTGCTCCTAATTTCTATTTTGTACAAATCAGCCTCTGGATATTTTCTGTCCTCATCTAGTGTCAAGAGATGCAGTTTTGGATAGATGTGACAACTCTGCAAAGCCCCTAAAGTGCTTTGAGGCTAGGGTTTGGCATGCTTCTGAGCACACAGTCCACTTGAAGCAAAGGGCCATTGGGGTGAAGTTGGAAGGGTTTCAGATGAAATACAAGGCTTGCATCTTCTAGGTTTTTCAGTGCCACTTTGTAAATAGCCATATGGCTGTGGTACATGGGCAGCCAGTTCTGGCAGGACTTGGTGCGGCCCCTTGACACCTGGAGGAGCTTGTTGAAGTGAGCTTTCTTCATATATGGGATCTCTGCTCTTCCCTGAGCTCACTGGGCTTCCTGGTATATTGGAAATGGTTACTGGGAGCACAAGGTGGAAAGCAATCATCTATGGTCTTGAAATCATGCTTCAGGGGTGGCTGGAACTGCCCCTGTAAATGTGGGTTTTGCAAGCACAGACAGTGTTGATTGCCTATCTAGATGAGCCATCTCAAAGGTGTTCCTTGAATGGAAGGATGCCACTCCTGAGCCACATGTTCACAAACATTTCCTTACCTTGTTTGACCACTTGGGCTGCTGGTCAACGTGTTGGACAAGCATCATGCAGTTCTATGACCCAGACTGTGGCACTGATCCACTGATCTAACTCAGGACTTGGGGAAAGTGTGTGTGCTGGCGGGGGAGGGGTGTCTATTCCTTCCACTATTTGAGTTCTGGGGACTGAACTAAGGCTTGCCAGCAAGTACCTTTACTTGCTGAGACATTTTGTGAGCCCTTGATGCAGTATTTTTTATAAGCTGATTGCCCACTGACATGTAAAAGCATTGGTACAAACCAAAGCTCTTTGACTTAGCATATAACAAGCATTTAAAACACCAGGTTGTCATTTTACCATGCTGACCTAATTAAGGGCAGTGTTAGGGGTAGAAACCTGTATAAATGGGCATCACTACTTTTGGCATCTGATGCTCATTGCTTCCCTGGCTTTCCCTCAAGAAAAAGTCTGTGCTGATTTCCTTTCACATAAACTGTGCAGACATGCAGGTGAAATGCTAAATACTCTGGAAGCTGAGAGTCCTTAGGAATAGACAGCCACTGGAGTCTTCTATTTTGGCATCTGAGTTGTATGAAAATAGGTTGGCTGATCTTCCCTATATTGCAAACATCACCAGTCTATATTTTTATCAACTGTGTCCAGTGAACTCCCGCAAAGTGATGAAGTAATGTGTATTCCCTGTGCTGACAGGAAGGTGTCAACCTCCAGGACCCTTAGAGTTGGCTGTGCATGGAGGAGAGTTTGTCTGATTTTCCCCTTGAAAAGATTTTTTTTAGCCGGGCAGTGGTGGCACACTCGGGAGGCAGAGGCAGGCAGATCTCTGTGAGTTCGAGGCCAGCCTGGTCTACAGAACTAGTTCCTGGACAGGCTCCAAAGCTACACAGAAACCCTGTTGGGGCGCGGGGGGTGGGGGTGCGGTGGGGATTCAAGTTCATACAAAAACACCTTGACTTGTTAATAAAAATTATCTTGTAAATCTGCCCTATTTTGATGGGAAGCTCATCCTTTAGTTTTACAGCTTAGCTAGTAATTAGTTGGTCCTTTGATAATTGGTTTGTTTAAAGTGAAAGGTTTAATACACTAAAGCCTTTTCTTTCTGAAATAAAGAATAATTACCATCATAAAATACTGTGGGAAACCTTTCTGAGTTTCAGGATCTTAAAAACCTGCAAATGTATCTGACTAATGTCTAGGTTGACTGGCTATTTCCGGGGTGGACATGGTACAATGTCAACTGGAGTTTTTATGTGTTGCCGTATCTCACACTGTCTGCATTCTGCTTTCTAGCCATGAAGGAAGACAGGAGAGTGGAGGACAGAACAATGGCAGCATCTGCAGTCCCAAAGAAGATGGTTCCTCCAGGCTCCCTGATGGGCAGACAGACTTCACCTAGAAATCTTGTTCCAAAGAAGCTTCCTCCTTATGCTAACGTGGCAGGAGCCAAACCAGCCATTAAGAAGCTACCCTCAGGCTTCAAGGGTACCATCCCCAAGAGGCCATGGCCCTCAGCTACCCCTTCAGGCACTTCTGCCAGGCAGACAGGACCATCACCTGTGACAGCTGCTTCCAAAAAGTTGCCTGGCTCTGCTGCTGTGGTGGGAGTTATCAGGAAGCCAATGTCTGCCAATGTCCCTGCAGCCTCTCCAGCCCCAGGACGCCTTGGGCCTGTGAGCCCAGCCCCATCACAGCCCAATTCACAAATTCGGCAAAATATAAGACGCTCCTTGAAAGAGATTTTGTGGAAAAGGTGGGCCATTGTACATGTCACTCTTGCAGATATAGCATTGGTGATAGTATTCTGAATTTCCTCACTAGGCAAGTGCCCCTGGTTTATGTAATTCCTCTTTTCATTCTATTCAGAGTCAATGACAGCGATGACTTAATAATGACAGAAAATGAAGTAGGAAAAATTGCCCTCCACATTGAGAAGGAGATGTTTAACTTGTTCCAGGTTACTGATAATCGTTATAAGAGCAAATATCGCAGCATCATGTTCAACCTTAAGGATCCTAAGAATCAGGTCTGTCTGTCTGCCCCCAACTAGGTCTTGGGACTTCTTGACCCAGAATAATAGAGCCCTACATTCATTTCTGTTAGCTTTACAGTGACATACCAAATAGCATTTTGAGTATCCTTTCTGTCTTTGTGGGTCATCATTTTCTCTGCCAGAACTAGAGTTAAACAGATTTTATAACCCCTCTACAAATCACATGCCCACCGTCCTAAGATTAAAGTTTTTCATCCCAATTTTCAGGGATGTCTGGTGGACTTTTGTTTTTGAGACAACGTCTCACCATATCTTTAGCTAGCCTGGTTCTTGCTTTGTAGACCAGGCTGGCCTCAAACTCATTAAGAGATCCACTTGCTTCTGCATAGGAAGTGCTGGGATTAAGGTGTGTGCTACCACATCTGGGATCAGGCAACCTTTTCTGCCTTACCTTTCTTCCTCAGCCACATGATTTGGGCCACCCCTTGCAGTTCTCAGCCTTGCCTAGCTAGCATGGTGCCTCTCGATTTCTGCTGCTGGGGCTGTTTATAATGTTCTCTAGACTCTGAATACACATAGCCCCTGTGTTTTAGAACCAGAAGTGCCCTGGCTACATTGCCATGGTCTGCAATTCCATGGTAGAAGTGATATGTTCCTGCCTTTATTTCTAACGTTTTTTGGGGGGCGGGGGGGAACAGGGTCTCACTATGTAGCTCTCTGGCTGGCCTCAAACTCAAATCCCAGTGCTAGGATTGCAGGCATGTACAGTCTGGCCTTCTAAATACTATTTTTGAAGCAGTCTTGTGCTTCCGCTTCCCAGGTATGTACCACCTCTCTCTCCTGACTTCCACCTTTTTAACCTATATTCCAAGTTGTGTGCATGAGTTGTGATCCTGAGAAGGCATAGACTCTGCAGATGGCCTTGAAGTCTTCTCTCAGATTTGCTGTTGCCTACTTCAGAGAGGCTGCTGCATGGCAGGCTGAGAGTGTACTCTGAGGGGGTGTGGCTAAGTTCTCGGGGTAGTCAGTGTCCATCTGAGTTCCGTTGTGCTGCTTGGGTTCTTCATATTGATCCAGAGCAGAAGATAACACTACAGGTTTATAGATGAGGAAATGAAAGGTGCTTTTTTTTTTTTTTCTTTTAAATAGGGGCTCTTCCATCGAGTTCTTCGAGAAGAAATCTCCTTGGCAAAACTTGTCAGAATGAAGCCTGAAGAACTTGTATCTAAAGAACTTTCCACGTGGACAGAGAAGCCTACAAAATCTGTAAGTGTTGAGGGTGGTTGTCTGAGGCCCTAGAGGTTTCATTTTTCTAGAATCCATTAATAAGCTGTTTGTAGGATGGATGAATATTCCTTCTCCCTGGAACCCAAAGCTGAAGCCTTCATTTCTGTCCTCCTTATTGTAGGTGATAGAGTCCAGGACTAAGTTACTTAATGAAAGCAAGAAGAACACTGCTAAGCCAGAACCTATTCCTGACATGGAAGATTCTCCACCAGTGTCAGATTCAGAAGTGAGCATTTGGGGTGTCCAGTGTTTGTATGGAGACTAAGATTAACAACATCTCTTACCTGCTTTCAGGTGTCCTAAGTCACTGAGCAAGTCACTGACCTTTAAACAAGTGTATGTGTGTGCATGGTGCAGTGTTTTCCAAGTGCTGCTGTTCAGTGGGGTAATTTGGGCTCCTTTAGTTTTTGATGCAGTTTCTCTTTGTCTGGCCTAAAACTTTTTACCTCTGGAATTGGGGGATTATAGACCTGGCTTGGTGGGCTTTTTCTCCTTTTTTTTGAACTTGTTCTGTAGACCTGGTTGGCCTTGAACTCAGAGATCCACCTGCTTCCACCTCCAGGCACCACACTTGGCTCTCCATTGGTTCTTCACCATTTGTGCTATTAACTTAGAGATGGATTTGATTTTGGAAAGGAAATTAGCTATTTGAGCCAAGCATGTTGGCACTTACCTGTAATCCCAGCACTTTCTGGATCAATGGTTCTCAACCTGTGGGTTGTGAGCTCTTTGAGGGTAGAATGATCCTTTTACAAGGATCACATATCAGATGGTCTGCATATCAGATATTTACATTAGAATTCATAACAGTAGCAAAATTACAGTTATTAAGTAGCAACAAAAAATTTTAAGAGTTGAGGGTCACCACAACAGGAGAGACTGTATTGAAGGGTGGCAGCATAAGGAAGGTTGACAACAACTATGCTAGATGGAAGCAGGAGGTTCAGGAGTTTCAGGGTCATCCTCTGCTACATTTCAAGACATTGTCTCAAGAAAACGACAAAGGCAAGACCTACTTGCATTCAATTGTAGGAACAACAAGAATCAGTAAGAGCTGCGCCTGAAAAGAGCATGACGCCTCTTCTCGATGTCTTCAGCAGCATGCTAAAGGACACGACAAGTCAGCATCGGGCTCATCTCTTTGATTTAAACTGTAAAATTTGTACAGGTGAGCATAATTTAGGGCCTGAAACTTTGGAAATGAGACAAAATTGGATTTTGTTTAAAATTGCTCTTCTAAATGTAGCAGTAGTCAAGCCACGTTTAGACAGTGGTTTTCTGGTTCGTATGTAGCCGTGCCTCAGTTGCTTTTGATTAGCATAAGAAACCATTCCCTGCTTGTGATGGAGCTGTGCTCTTGAATGTGTCTTCTCATACCTCATACTCTTCAGGTCAGGTTCCATCATCGGAGGATGAACCAGCTCCTAAAAAGCAAAAGCTTTCAGCTTCTGCTAAGAAAGAAGACTTGAAGCCCAAGCATGACGGCTCTCCATCTGATCCAGTTTCTAACTCTGCTGATGAAGGAATTGCAGAGACACTGCCTGAAAATGCCTCTGAGCCAGAACTGGAGAGTGTATCTAGTCTGAACCAGGAGAGAAAATGTTTCCCTGGGCCTCCAGGTGATGGCCATCCTGAGCCCTCCCCACTGGATGGCCTCTCTCCCTGCTCTGCCTCTGGTGGGAGTGGGGTGGTTACCACAGTCACAGTGTCTGGCCGAGACCCCAGGACCGCCCTGAGTGGGTCATGCACAGTCACAGCCTCCACGGCAGCCCACCTGGACAACTCGCACACATCAGAAACCAAACTGGACATGCTAAAGCCTGCTTTGACTCCTGCAGTGGTGCCTAAGTCCATACTGGCTAAGCCATCCTCCTCTCCTGACTCAAGATACCTGTCAGTACCACCATCACCAAATACGAGGTGTGTTTTCAGGAGGGGTCTGAGAAAACCTCAAACTCTTGCTTTAGACTGACAAGGAAAGGTAGTGATTAGATTGATCAGAAACCTGGCTTTAGTATCTTAGAAATGCTCCATTTCTTGGATGCCTAATTATTAATTTGGGGTCATTCAGGTCTTGAGTATGAAGGTTTTAGCTTATGGCAATTCCGATTTGTTGATGATCCACTTATTTTCTTGACCAAATGTCTAAACCATTATGACTTAAATAGTTGCTTGGTAAAGGAAGCCACCAACCTTGGGGGTCTCTTTTGTTCCCAAGTATGAAGTTGCCGTACTTCGAAGTATCCATTGTACAAAAAGAAAGTGACATTTTTTTTATGGTTTGCTTTTACAGCATTTCAGAATCACGATCCCCGCCAGAAGGAGATACAACCCTCTTCTTGTCTCGACTCAGCACGATTTGGAAAGGATTTATTAATATGCAGAGTGTAGCAAAATTTGTCACTAAGGCATATCCTGTCTCTGGGTGTTTGGATTATCTCAGTGAGGTTAGAACCAAGAAATTCCCCACCCGCCTCTCTCTTCTCCCCTTTCTCCTTCTCTTCTGGGTATGTGGGCATGTTGGTGTGTCTTGGAGAAATCAGATTTATGCTGCTCTTATATTGTATGGCCAAAGACAGAAATGTGGATCAGAAGTCAGGCTTAGTTCCCTGCTTAGGTGGGTTATTTCCACATATGTGACCTGCCTCAGTTTCAGAACATAATATCCTTGAGAAGAAGTGGTTGTCTCCCACTCTGGCTTTAGGTGACAGTCTTTCTAAAGTGGTGATGGCTTTAGTGTGTGATACGGTGTTTTGGAATTAATTGTGTCAATTTCTGAAGACTGCAGCTCTGATGTTGACTTGGTGTTCTTCTGTAGGATTTGCCTGACACCATCCACATCGGTGGAAGAATTGCCCCAAAGACAGTTTGGGATTATGTTGGCAAGCTCAAGTCGTCGGTGTCCAAGGTACCTGCTCACAGTGTGGTCTCTGCAACAGTGGGAAATTGTGTTTGCTTAATTTTTTTTTTAATTCCCATTTTATTGGGCTAAGGCTTGAAACATCAGCCTATAACTTACTAGATGTTGAAAATGTTTATAAGTACATAAAGGTGTAAAGGTATACTTGACTAGTAGCAATAGGAGTTTGTTTCTAATTTATCATAATGGTGTGAATGCATTCAAATTTTAGTAAATACACAGACTTTGCTTCTCTCTTTCATGGGAAGAAAGGAGGGGAAAAGAAGGTAAGAACTTGGAGGTGTCCTGGCTTAGGCACACAGTGTTACTTCATACACAGGTTTAGGCTTCCTAAAAATCCCTCAAGTTAGCTGCAGGTGAAGTGTGTGAGGTTTATTTTGTGGTCCATAGTTTGGACCAGGCTCACAAGAGGAGGTAAACCATATAGACTGGCTTTCTAGTGTGGGGACACCCAGACACCTGCTGCTGGTGTGTCCTGTGTGCTGTGATCCCCATCGTATGAATAGTGAAAGCTTGCTTGGTGTCTGACAGCTGTACACAGTGGCTCACTGACAGTCCTGGGAGTGGAGGTGGTTCTAGCCCACCAGTCAACCAGAACCTTTGTTCTTTATACTTGATGTAAGTGCAGGCAATAGATCTGACAGAACTCCTAGGCAGTGTGTCTTAGGGTCTGCATCTGAAGGAGGGCTGTTCAGGGCAGCCCAGGTGCATGCTTCCCTGTGCTCTGTTTGCCTTACAGGAGCTCTGTCTGATCCGCTTCCACCCTGCCACAGAGGAGGAGGAAGTTGCCTACATCTCTCTCTACTCCTATTTTAGCAGCCGTGGCCGCTTTGGGGTTGTAGCTAATAACAACAGGCATGTCAAGGATCTGTACCTGATTCCACTGAGTGCTAAGGACCCTGTGCCATCCAAACTCTTGCCCTTTGAGGGCCCAGGTAAGCACCCAGTTTCTGGGAGGTGTAGGCACAGCCAGTCCCCACATAGTCCTCTACACTGACACAATTCTTTCAGGTTTCTGCCACCTGGCATAAACTCTTAAGGAGCTAGATTAGGACAACCAGTGGAACCATGCATTGCAGGAGAATCTGTTCTCTGAGAGATGTGGGCACATGGCTCTAAAACTATCTCAGTTCTTGTGAAAATTGACTCACTACTTACAACCAAATTGTTTGCTGCCTCAGACCAGGGAGCTGTTCAAATGCCACGATCAAGAACCAGACCCAGAGAGGAAAGACAGGGCTTGCCTGGATCCAGGGGTCCCTTCCACTCTAGAAAGAGGGTTGCTATTACTGTTGCCACTCTTCTCAAAGTGAGCTGGCCTCTTCCATTCTAAGGTGCTTCTCCACAGGACCTGATTCCTAAGGGGTCCGGTAACAGTGCCAAAGAGAAGCATCTCAAAATGACTGCTTTTTGGTCACTGCACATATTGTAGTAAGTTCTTTTATCTTTTCAAACTATCTAGATTTGCTCTTTCCTATGAAGCATTGCTTAGCAGATTACTTATACAGAAACATAAACTGGGGTTCAGATGACACGGAGGGGTCTGGTCCAGTGATGTCCAGCTCTGCTAAGTGCCTTCAAGGAGTTTTCATGGCTTCAACTAGGGAATTTGCACTAGGTTCCTAAATTGGTCTCTTTGGTCATTATGTCCCCAGAGGATTAGTCTTAACCTAAAAGCCATTGGTTTTGACATGTGCTAAATATTCTTTAAAATACTGTCATAGAGGTGGCTGATGCGTGCCCAAGGCCCTGTACCCACACCACTTGCACTACATCTAAACTTGCTGGGATGCTGAAGGCCCACGCCCATTGCCCCAAGCACAGCCCTCTGCCAACTACAGCCTGTTCCTAGTTCATGGCATGGGTTCCCTGGGCCTGCAGTTTCAAAATACGTGCACATTAAGGTATTGGTTGGTGTCATAATTCAAGGGTTAAGTGTTAATGGGCACGATGCAATAGGTGATTTTAGTGCCCGGCACATTTCAAAAGCAAAGTGCTTTAGTGTGTTCTGTGAAGCCATATTGGGGATTAAAAAAAACAAAACTGCCACTGTGGGTGGCAGAAAGTGCCCTGGAAGTGTTCGATGACAGCCATGTGAAGAGCTCTGGCCAGCATTTTCCATGACCATGGGGAAAGAGGTATCCAGTTCTCCTGGAAGTGAAGATCCAGAAGCTGCCGACCCTTGGCACCTGTGTGAAGAGCGGCCGGTTGCTTAGATGTGTCTCAGCTGGTGGGTAGGAGTTAGTGTCCACAGGTGGTGTTTGTAGTGAGGGTAGGTATTGCCCCTGGACACCCTCCTCTCAGGTGGAAAAGTACACCATTTATTGCAGAAGTGTGAGTTAGATCTCTTACCTCCAGTTTACTTAAAAACAAAAGCACCACTTCATCCTTTATATTCTCTCTACCCCATCTCCATCTCAGCATTGCCAAATGAGAACAGAGTGTTGGGAGTACATGGATCTTGCAGAGTACGTGGGCTTTGGGGTACATGGGACCCTTAACCAAATAGAACTTGGATGAGGTTCCCAGTGGCCAGGGCCAGGAGGAAACTGCCAGAGGAATGGCACCATCAATTGTGGCTGCACAGTCATCTGGGTTCAGGGTTGTAGAATAGCCAGCTGGGACAGGGCAAGGCCACACTGTGCTTCCAAGATGACAGGGGTTGGGGGTTGGCATATTGCATCCCACTAAAAGATGGACACTGACCACTGGTCAAGGAGAGGGGCACACTTATTGAGGCCATGACACTGAAGGGCGCGCTCAAAAGATAGGCAGGTTCCATCCACAGTACATCATAAATGTGTCTTGCTAAAATAAGAATTTAGAAAAGTAATGAAATACTACCTTTAAACTTCTAAAGATTTTTTTTTTTTAAACTTAAGGACTGAAATACAGATTTTAATGATACCATTGCCACAATTACATGTGTGTGGTATTTGCACACTGTCAGTGCAAACAGCCTTGGCCTAGGCCAGGCTTGTGGCTGGACCTGCCTTATGTACTGATGGCTTGACTTGGCATTTTCTAGGTGTAGGGGTGTGTGTGTGTGTGTGTGTGTGTGTGTGTGTGTGTGTGTGTGTGTGTGTTTATATGCTTATGCTTGTGTGTGCTATATGTATGTAAGGCTGGGCTGGAGCCTTGTTCCTGGCTTCTTTTTCCCTGTCCTTATAGCATGTAATCTTCCCAGAAGCTCTGGACACCTTGGGCCATCTACAGGTAGTAGCTCTGTCCCCTCAGCCGACCAATGGCCCTGTCTGAGTACCAGCTACCCAGCAAGCTGGGGGTCACATACCTAGGAAATTACTGGGGCTGGGGTCTGCATACCCAAAGCCTTTCTCTCAATCCAAAGACTCCGCCTTGACTGTGAATGGTACAGCGCTGTCCTCATAGCAGGGGTAGAATGTCCTCATGACCAGGTAGAGTCAGTCCCATGTAGTGTGTGTGCAGAAGATCATGATAGGAGTAGAGATGGCCTTGCAGGAAAGTGACCCACTTGTCTATGTACCCCATTTTCTACACATGGAACCACAGGTGGTCCTCTCCAACTGAACTCAGAGCCAAAGATTTTCAGACATTGGCTTCTTTCTTACTTTGAAGGATGACGAGACCTCAAAAGTACTTAGGCCACACCTTCAGAACACTTATGGCCAGCATTTGGTTCTTGGCCTAGCATATGTGGTTCACAGACCCAGTCAGTACATCCAGAGCTGCTGGGTTTCTTAATGACTCTAGTGTCCTTTTTAATGGTTTTCTACAAAAATGCTGTCTGGCCTTAGTCTGTCAGACACTGATGTTTATACCTTGTTTATACCTTTTGATTATTTCAAAGGACAGCTAAAAAACCTAGGTCCCTCTGACTCTGCTGTCCATCTTCTCCACACTAGTTTAGATGCTATCTTAAATCCACCAACAGGTTCTCAGATGGCTTGTAGCCTTAGTCAAGGGAGTGAGACTAGTTTAGTTACAGGGAACCCTTGCATTCTACCTGGCCCTGACAACACTGAGTCTGAAACCCATGTACCCACCTCATATTCATCAGGGCCCACTGCCAGGCTGGAGAAAACCAAGGACACTTTGTTTGGTGTCAGTCTGTGCCTGTTGGACTCCCCAGTTCATTCAGCATGCAGTCAGTCTCCCCCAAATCACCCTCAGTGGCTCTGAGAGAAAGGGCATGCCTCTACACATAGAACGCATTCCTCAGGAAATGTTACACTCCAGTGTCTTTGTGTTTACTTTAAACAGTTCAATTAGCTGGAAAGTTTTATGCTTTAAAATATTAGCAGGTAAGCACTCCAGTTTTCTTGTGTGTGTATCAAAGATTTGCACAGAAACTGTAATCAAAGTAAAATACAGTATTGAATGGAATGTACTACTTTGTCTATCTAAATCAATAAAAATATGTCATGGAAACTGGTCATTGTTTGTTTGACTTGGAACCATGTGGTAGCTAGGGCCACTTGCCCTAGGTCTACCTCTGCTCCTTGTAAGCCAGCATAACTCTCTTCTGGTAGTACAAGGGCTCTCAGTATCCTGCCAAGTGGTTCACAGCAGAGGGCATGCAGACTGGCATGCTCCATGGTGTCCTTTGTACTTGGGCACCTGGAAGAAGATGGACAGAGCCCTGGTTACCCCAAGCATGCACGGGGTGCAGTGGCTTTACCCTGGTCTCACAGCGTCAGTCGAGGAGGGAGGACATGTGCGTGAGTGTGTGTGTGCTAGGTGGGTTGGGAAGTATACAGTTCCCCTCGTTGCCAAGTGTGTCCAAGTCATACACAGTTTCTGATCCAGCAGGTGTGCACATTTTGTTTTGACAGATTCAAACCATAAAAAGGTTCTCATCTTGAACACGTCGAACATACTGTTAGATTTGGGAATAGAGGTGTCAATTAGATAGGTGTGAGGTCAGTGGGAGTCTACTTTGGGGTGATTCTGTTAATAAACGGGAATGCTAACATGCACACAGGTCACAGCACCACCTCCCACTATCTGTAGAAGCAGGTGGTTGTCTTCAGCCACATCTTCAGACTCTGTTGCTGACACGTCTAGATACAGGTCCTGGAGATTAACTAGCACACTCTTCAGGTGCACCCTTGTCTGGTTTCTCTTGCTGTCTGATACTACTGAGTCCAAAGGCTAGAAAGACATTTGCACCTTGAAAACGAGGACAGATGTGGAGCTTACAGGGCTTGCTTTCATACACATTAAACAATGTATCCCTTCTAGTTGGACAGCACATTTTAACTGCATCTGGTATGTCAGTCTCCCAGTGCTTGTTTTGCGTAGTTGTGTGAATTGACAGCCTCGTAAGAGTCCCCAAGGGTGATGAGTAAGTGACTGCCATCCTGTCTAGTGCTGGCTCTTGTGGACCCCCATCTGCACTGCAGCTGGGGGGTTCATTGCTTCTCAGGCCATACATCCCACACTCCGGGGAGCTGAGTTCTTAACCTGATGACTGACGAAATGCAGCAAGCCTGGAAATTGGACCCCAAGAAACCTGGATCTCCACTGCCCCTCCTGGAGGTGTGGGGTAGAGATGGGGGCTTGGGGCCTTTGACCTTCATTAACATTTCCTCTTATATGGCATACCTTACATACACAATGAAGCAGCATCATTAACTTTGGGACATGCCCCTCACTCCTCAGTGAAGATCCTTCCAAGGCCCAAGACGGATAATTAAATTTGATTATTCACAAGTTGCTGCTGCTTTCAGGGTGCTAGCTACAGTTGGGTTTGGGTTTTGTTTTGTTTTTGTTTGGTTTTGGCCCAGGCTGACCTGGAAGTCACCATATAGTCTAAGTTGACCTTGAACTCATGAAGATCTTCCTGCCCTCAGACTCCTGAGCAGATAATACATATGAGTCACCGTTCCTTGTGGGTCTTTATGTAGTTGTAGGTATACATGAGGCAGGCAATAAGGGTTGTTTCAGAACAAGGCTGTGCATTCTGGGGAGGTTAGCCAGAAATTGGACCAGTCTGTGGAGCCCTGCAGTATGCACACGGGATGGCCAGGTGATTAGAAACAGCTGCTGTAAGATGCCAGTCTAGGCAGCCTGCTGTGCTCCAAACCAGCATAAACACTAACACAACTGCCAGCTTACTGTGGTTGCTGGAGCATCCTGCTGTGGTGGGAGACACTAATTCTAATGAATACCCTGGACCCCGTTTTGAGTCTTGGTTGCAGTGAAGGGCCCATCACCTGCACTTGGGTGGTCTGGAAGTCCTTCCTGGAATGAGGCAATATAGCCCCCTCTGGAGGACTAGTGGTCCACATTAAGCTGCCTACCCTGCCCCCTCATACCAGGACCTCCAGCCCTTAGCACCATGTTCCTCCACAACCCACGACCTCACACCCCCAGCCAGCCTCCTAGTGTCAAATTCTAGAAAAGGCCTGGCTTACAGAGCTGTCCAATAAAACTTCAGCTTGAGGCCCAAATGTTCCAAAGAGTTTTCATAACTCATACTTGCAGGCTCTGGCCATTTCCTACAGATTTGCCCAGAAAGGCTAAAAAAAAAGAAAAAAAAAAAAAACAACTGGTTTAACAATTAGTCCAAACTATAGATCTTAACAAGCCGTATAATATCCAGGAAGCAAATAGCAACTCCTGTTTTAAGTTTAAAATTCCCTTCATTTCTCCTTAGAAAAAGAACTTGCCTTCCACACATCCTGAGTGTTCAGTAGGATCTGCCTGCTTTCCGGGTTGTTTTGGGGTTTTTTGTTGTTGTTTTTTTCTACTGCCTAACTCTTTGATACACTAGGCAATTACGGCCCTATCTCAGTTTTTGTACATCCCTCCAGGAAGCAGTAGGCTGGCTCAGATTCCTGGAAGGAGGGAGGAGAGCTAGGTGTGGGGGCTGGGTAGCCAGCTCTCAATGGCTGGCCCAGTCTGCCACCTCTGTTCCCCATTCTGTGCTAAGCCTTACTGGAATTTAGGAATTGTAACACCCTTAGAACTAACTACATTACAGTGTCCAAAAGCAATTGTTTACAGTAGCTTGAAACACAAGTAAAATCTTTGATAGTGATTTAATTGCATAAAAATTATAATATGAATATATTTTTATGACAGTCAATTGAGTAGTATGGTCAAATCGACAGCTTGTTTCATTCTACATTTGTACTCTTGACACTGTGTCGTTCCCCCTGCTCCTCCAAGTTACAAGTTTTGTGACCTGGACTTTTCATTCTTGCTTTGTTTCACACCATGACGAGTGAGAAGCAGCACTGGAAAACTGGCATTCCTGAGACTGTTTGCCACACTGTTTTAGAGAGGTCCTTACCTTTAAAAGCAGTGTGCCCTAAATCTTCCTAGTGCTTCCTCCCTGGGGTATATGTTCTTTACCACCATTTGCAAATGCCCTGTGCCTACCATTCATTCACAGCTCAGTAGAAATGTGATATGTGAATGTCCAATTAATTTTGTTTTAAATTGAGCTTTGTTTTCTCATTACTATAATTCTGACACCAAACACTAAATTCTCTGTATTGGTCATTATAGCTTGAATTTAACTGGTCCCTAACTATTTGCTAGCTTAGTATATTTAACATATGCAACTCACGTTAAAGCTAAAAGGGGCTGCTGTCTCCTGATGTGCAGTGGGGGCAAATGGGAGAACATAGCTGAGACTTTTTTTTTGAGACAGGGTTTCTCTGTGTAGCTTTGCGCCTTTCCTGGATCTCGCTCTGTAGACCAGGCTGTCCTCGAACTCAGAGATCTGCCTGCCTCTGCCTCCCGAGTGCTAGGATTAAAGGCATGCGCCACCACCGCCTGGCTGAGACTTTTAAAACATTGCCCTCAAGAGGCAAGAATAGGCATATCTCTGTGAGTTCAAGGCCAGTCTGGTCTACAGAATGAGTTCCAGGACAGCCAGGGCTACACAAAATCCTGTCTCAAAAAAACATTGTTCGCCAACCCTGCCAGTCAAATGTTCCAACAGCCAGTAGCTGCCTGTCTGTCTCACCTCTTCTATAGCTTTGGCATTTTAGCAACTGGAAAGACATAGCATAAATTCTTATGTGGGATAGGTTTGCTCATGACTTGAGTTCTTGTTTTATGGTTTCTGATCGGGTGTTAATCTGTCATGGGTCTCTTTCAAGACTACTAGGTGGGTATGCTGGTACATTCAAAGACTCCAATCCCTTGGCCTTCTATAATAAGCTTCTTAAACTTGGGATTTTATTTTACCACAGAATTTCTTCCTCTGCCTATTGAAGTTCCCCATCAGTGAAAGTTACCTCTGAAGGGTGAAAGCTAGGCTTAGATTCTAAAATTTGTCAAAATATTTTGTTTTCCAGGTCTTGAATCACCACGTCCAAATATAATTCTTGGGTTAGTAATATGTCAGAAAGTCAAACGTCCTTCAAGTGCTGGAGAGTTAGATAAGACAGATGAAAAGCGGACCCGAGTCCAACAGGAAGAAGTAGAAACTTCAGTCTATCCCAAAGTAACTGCAGCTTTGCCATCTGAGAAGAAGCCTCCCAAGTACCATCTGCACTCTGCAGACACAGCTGCGGGCAGCACTACACCCCCTGGTTCTCCTCCACCCCCTCCTCCTCTTCCTGAACCCCCAGTACTGAAAATACTGTCATCCCTCAAGCCAGGGTCCACCAGCACTGTCACAGCACCCACCACATCAGTGATCACCACTACAGCTTCCCCTGTCACTTCTGCCACTTCAAAAACAGCTTCGCCTCTGGAGCACATCCTGCAGACTCTGTTTGGGAAAAAGAAATCATTTGAACCCTCCACCAAAGAATCTGTTGGGTCTACCCTGTCTCCACATCAGGATTCCAAGGCCAAGGGGGAGGATGCCATGTCAGCAGCTCCTTTGTTGGATCCAATTGTTCAACAGTTTGGTCAATTCTCAAAAGACAAGGCTGTGGAGGAAGAGGAGGAAGATGACAGGCCCTATGATCCAGAAGAAGAGTACAACCCTGAGCGAGCCTTTCATACGCTGCTTACAGAGCCAGGGAGGCACCATGACGTGGAAAATGTCCCTGAGACAGCTGAGAAGGAAGAGGTGGCCTATGATCCAGAGGATGAGACCATCTTAGAAGAAGCTAAAGTGACCATTGATGACCTGCCCAATCGGATGTGTGTGAAAGTCAGCTCCATGGAGAGGCCTGCTGACTTTACCACCGATGCCACTAATGCCTCTCTAGTGGAGCAACAGAAAATGTTAGAAGAGCTAAATAAGCAGATTGAAGAGCAAAAGAGGCAGCTGGAGGAGCAAGAAGAAGCCCTTAGGCAGCAGAGGGCTGCTGTTGGTGTCTCCATGGCACACTTCTCTGTGTCGGATGCATTGATGTCACCACCTCCCAAGTCTTCCCTGGCTAAGGCAGACCTGTTCTCTCAGGAACAGCAGGCCCCTGACCCAAGTCATGGAGCCCTGGGCGCCAACCACAACTTAGACTCGAGACAGAGTAGGGATCCGAGGCAGGCCAGGAGGCTGGCTGCCGAGAACATTGAGAATGAACCTCTTCCCAGGGCCTCCACAGGAAGCACACCTGGCTCACAAGGCACCCTGCCTGCCAGGGAGACTCCTGCTGCTGGGACTGCAGCAGTCCAGGGCACTGGGCTGACTCCCGAAGCCAAGGAGTCGGTGACTAATCCCTGGGCTACGGGTGAAAATGCTGTGTTGAGACCCGAACATGATGTCCAGAAGTGCGAGCACCCTGGTAACCCTGTCTCATTGTCCCTGGACAGCAGCCACTTTTCTACTGCTGGTGATGGCACAGCCAGGCCAGCTGCACCCCGCAGAGTGCTGCTGCCCACACCCCCTAGCACCACCTTTCCACCCAGCTTCCCTTTGCAACCTGAAGCACAGAATTTTAGTTCTGGGGGCAGGGAGCCTTTTTCAGGGCCCGTGTTTCTGTCTAAGGAAACATCTCTTGGCTCATCCCAATACGAGGACCCTCGGGGTGCTCAGTCTGCTGGGAGGAGTGATAGCCCAGTAGCTGATACTGAGGACAGCAGAGAGCCACAGCTCAGGCCTGGTGAGGGCACTACTCCATTCCCCCAACCTGGGCAGAGGGGAGGAGGCCCTCAGCCCCAGTTTCCTGGCCAGCGTGAACCTTTACCACGCAATTTTGGGATGTCAGGACATCACGGCCCTAGTTTCCCAGGACCTAGGGGGCCAGTCCCTCCATTTTCAGAAGAGACTATTGTTCCTAACAATGATGGACCAAGAGGCCCTCCACCTGCCAGATTTGGGGTCCAGAAGCCACCAATCCCTTCCTTATTCTCTGGGCAACATGGGCCACCTCCCTATGGGGACAACAGGGGACTCTCACCTTCTTATCTTGGTGGACCCAGAGGAGGAGCACCCGCTCAATTTGAAGAACGCAAGGATCCACATGGGGAGAAGAGGGAATTCCAGGACACTCCATACAACGAGATGACAGGTGCCCCTGCTCAGTGTGAAGGACCAGATCAGACCCAGTTCATGGGGAACAGGGCTCCCTTCCAGTTTGGAGGCCAGCGACGGCCACTCCTGACTCAGATGAAAGGGCCCCGTGGAGGACCCCCACCGTCTCAGTTTGGAGGCCAGAGGGGACCACCTCCTGGCCATTTTGTGGGCCCACGTGGGCCCCATCCTAGTCAGTTCGAAACTTCCCGGGGCCCTCACCCTGGCCAATTTGAAGGGCCAAGGGGCCAAGCACCAGGTTTCATGCCTGGCCCCCGGGGTGTTCAGCCCCAGCAGTTCGAAGAGCAGAGGGTGAACTCACCGCCACGGTTTGCAGGTCAGAGGGCACCGGCACCCCTGCCGTATGGAGGACCAAGGGGGCCTGCACCCTTTGCTGAGAAAAATGAACAGCCATCTTCTCGATTTCACTTTCAAGGCCCGTCTTCACAGCCTGTGAAGCCTCCCCCTCGGCCTCTGCTGGAGCTACCAAGCCACCCTCCTCAGCATAGGAAGGACCGATGGGATGAGGCAGGCCCAGCCACTACCCTGCCTTCCAGTGCTGGGCCTGGGCAGGGCCCCGAGGCTGACGGGCAGTGGGCCACATCAGAGTTCCGAGAAGGCAAAGGCCATGAGTATAGGAACCCGGCTTTTGAAGGGAGACAGAGGGAGCGGTTTGAAGCAGGACCTAAGGAAAAGTCTCTGGATGAGCCTGAAGCTCCAGGGTTGGAGAGTCGGCAGGGCCGGGCATTTGAGGATCGGAGGCGAGAGCGAGAGAGAGGCAGAAACTGGAGTCGAGAAAGAGACTGGGAGAGGAGCCGGGAGTGGGACCGGCATCGGGAGTGGGACAAAGGCAGGGATAGGAGCTCCAACAGGGACAGGGAGCGAGACACCGACCGGGCTAAGGAGTGGGACCGGAACCGTGAGAGAAGCAGGAATCGCGACCGAGACCGGGAAAGGCGGCGAGACCGAGACAGGTCCCGGAGCAGAGACCGAGACAGGGACCGTGAGAGAGCCCGAGACAGGGACCGGGACCGAGGCCGGGACCGGAAGGACCGCAGCAAGAGCAGAGAGAGCCCTCGGGACCTGAAGTCTGAGGCCAGGACCTCTGATGGGGGCCCTGCCGCAGCCCAGGCCTAGAGGCCATTGCACTCAGGGCTGGTGAGGACAAAGACCTCGGGTCAGCTGTTATTAATATAGGCTCAGCCTGGCAAAGACCCCTTTAAAAGCCAAGTGCATAAAATATGTTGAGCAAAGAGTTTTTGAAATAGCTATGAACTTAGATGCAGGATATAATATTCTGGACTTCAGGAATTACTGTAATTTTGTGTATAATGGTTTGTTACAAAATTTCCCAACTTTACAATTCTGATGTTTTTTTTAATAACTTAATATTTCCATTTAAAATTACAGAAATGGGAAAGTATCTACAAAAGCATATTGCTTTTTTTCAAATTATAAAGTTATCTTTTCCAATAACTTGACTGGTGTAAGTTTTAAGGGAATTTCAGTGGACTGTAGAGCTAGCTTTCCTGTGCTGCCATCTCTGCTTCCAGATACCCAGACCTGTCAGGGCCTCAGTGCTGTCCTGGAAAGAAAGCACTGTTGAGGGGTGAGCTGGGGGTGTGCTTGCTACTGTGGGAGAACAGTCTTCCTAGGCCTGGTTCCCCACAATGCATCACTTTAGAAGTTTTTTCAGAACATAATTAGAAGTAATCCATCCTAGTGGAAATTGTTACATTTCAAATAACAATTTATTTTTATTGGTCAAATGTATCAGCCTAAAAAAAGAAGCAAAGCAGTTCAGAGTAGCTTAAGAGGGAAGAGACAGGAGTCAATCCGAAAAGCATTGCTCAGTGCTGTCCTCTCTGCAGAGTCACAGACCTCAGACAGGATGGGTTTGGAAGCTTCTCATTGGGACAGGGCAACGTTTGTACCACATCTGGAAGAGAGGAGGAGGATGGTAAGACAGACTGCTTCATGAAAGGCTGCTCTGCTGCTGCCCTCAAGCCCCTCTGAAGATGCTGAGAAGATCGGCTAACTTATTTGACTGTGCAAATATGTTTGATAGTTCCTTTTATATTTTCATAAACTTACTTTTTCAGATAGAGAATTAGAGAGCTTCATTTGTTCTTTGGAGTCTTATTTCGTTGTACATCACTACAGATTTTTTTTTCACTTTATAGCAAAAATTTTTAAGTTGAGATGACATGGAAAAAATAGCAGTTTGGGATATTTGCTATTATAAACCAAATGTCAGGTTAAATTACACGAAAGTGTCAGTTTCAACATCTAATAAGATGTGAAGGGGTTTTTTTTAACATATAAAGTAAAATTTTCTAACTTAAATGCACAAGCATAAAAATCAAGTGTGTTTCTTTAGGTTTACTTCATAGAAATTTCTGTACATTGTATTTTGTATTGCAGAGTGTTATATCACTGTCCATTTAAACACAGGACTTCATAGGTTTTGTTACTTGAAGTAGAATAAATATCTACAGAGTTCTCGTCTCTCTCTTCACTCAGCCTTGGCCCCTGGTTGTCACAGGTGCAGGCAAAAGCATCCTACTCCCAACTAGCAGCCCTCGTCCCTGCGCTGGATGTTGCCTGCTGTGTGGTGTCAGGATCCAGAGAGTAATGTGCTGGCTGGTAACCTATGTAGAGCCCTGACTGCGTGTGTATGGGTTTGCAGGAAGCCTGAGGGTGTTACTGAAGGCAACCTGTGTTGGAGCAGGAAGCAGTGGCTCTGGAATGCACAGGTGTCGGGTGTAGAGTCCAGCCTTTCACTGCTAGCTTTTTAAAAGGAAAAGGCTTTTCCTTTTTTGCTCACAAAGCTGGTTGTGGAGCAACTACTCTGGTGGAGTTGGTGGCCCAGGTTGCCTGCATGTGGCCCCTGCCCTTGACTGCCACCTGCTGGTAAGACTTGGACCTAAATCCGGCTGCTATATCTCTACATAGGTACCCAGTGCAGCAAGAACTTGGCAGGAAGATCCTGACCCCGACCCAGCTGGTGAAGTGTTTGCTAGGGCTTGGAAGCTGACAGTATCTCCCTCACCAAAAAAGCCTCTGAAAGCCATATCACCTTTTTGTTTTGAGATATCCCCTCTATATAGCCTCAAATTCACAGCAGTCCTCCTTCAGCCTCAGTACCATCACCCCAGCTCCCATTTTAACTTGATCCTACATGTGTACTGTGACTGCATTATGTCACTTGTGTTCACCCCAAAACATCTTGACACCTATTGCAGGGTTAATACACACCTGAAGGCAGATTAAGAGGAAATGAAAAGAGCTGTTGGGGGCCCCCAATGTACAGTGGTGCCCTCTGCCCATTCTAGAGCCCTGGCAACAGCAGCCAGGACATGCATTACCAAGTTCAGTAACAAGCAAGCAATAGTGCCTGTGTCCTAGGGAAAGCAGTAGACACTGGCTATGGCCTGGCTGTATGACCTGTAGAGCAGAGAAGGCAGATCTCTACAGTCATACCAAGGGCAGCAACCACTGGGAAAATAGCTGGTAAGTACTGGACCTCAAACCTGCTCCCTGCAGCAGCACACATCTATATGGCTCTTAGCAAAAGTTGGGGGTGGAATCCAGCCATAATTTTACATCCAGCAGACAGCTAGTAATGCTTAGTATAGCCTTACATATTTGCCTTTCTCATTGTTGTGACAGAATGCTTAACAGTTTCAGGAGGATTCAGTCCATTACAGAGACTGGAGCACTGTTGACAGCGGGAGCTTGTGACATGTCTTGTTCACATCTTAGTAAATTAAGAAGCATTGCTCAGGACCTGAAGCACAGCTGGGCTGTAACCCTCAAAGCCACCCTCCCCCCACTTGGGTGGCTGGTGTCAACCAGCTAGTTCCCCTATTTTAAAGGTTTTATTAGCTCTCAGAACAGCACCACCAACTGAGGACCAAGTATTCAAACACTTGAACTTGTGGGAGACATTTAAGATCCAACCATATTTAATCTTATCTTTTTTTTTTTTTTTTTTTTGGTTTTTTCGAGACAGGGTTTCTCTGTGTAGCTTTGCGCCTTTCCTGGAACTCACTTGGTAGCCCAGGCTGGCCTCAAACTCACAGAGATCCGCCTGGCTCTGCCTCCCGAGTGCTGGGATTAAAGGCGTGCGCCACCCACCCGCCCGGCTTTAATCTTATCTTTTAAGTAGAATACATTTATTGGTTTTTTTGTTTTGTTTTTTTACTTGTTAGTAAACTGGACGATTCCCAAAGGCATCACACATTCACCAAAACTCTTGTTTACAGGAGGGCGTGGCGGCACATGCTTCATAGGCAGGCAGATCTCTGAGTTTTAAAGCCAGGCTGCATAGTGAGACCTTGTCTCAAAAAACAGTAACTGTTTGCATTTTTGGATTGTTTGAAAGGTTTGTATCTACTTTTTCCCTCTGGGCATAGCATTATGCCATCTTAGAGTACAGATCAACTTGGCCTGGTAGTCATAGCAACTAAACAGGACATCATAAAGGATAGTCAGGTTCATGGTAATGGTGTTGATAGTCCCTGCTCTCCCCCAGCTACAAGTGGTCTTGGGTAATGCTAGAGTAAATAGGAAGTAGAAAAGTTAACTGAAGGTAGGACTCCATGATGTAGCTTCCATGAGGTCACCATCCACAATTCGAGACTTGGCAGTGATGCGGCTGCTTTCGAGTCACTCATGCTCCAAGTAGGCTTGATCAACTCATCAGTTGACGAGGTTGGACTTTGGTGGAATTGTTTCTTTGTTGTGTCAGAAGTGCCCTATCTGGGGTGCATAAACATGTTCATATCTTCCCAGGAAAAGTTAATAGGGTACAAGCTCACCAGGTGTGGTGTGGTGGTGTTATCTATAATCCCAGCACTTGTGAGCCTGGGTGTGGTAGGAAGACAGGAATTCAAGACTAGCCCAGGTCACATAGTGAAACAAGTTAAATAAATAAATACATAAATAGATAAATACATAAATAGATGCTCCTTCTAGGTTTGTGAAGTCCTTGGTGCTCATGGTAGAGGAAATGAGAAAATGAAGGAAGTGTGTGAAAGCCCAAAGCTACAGCACACCATCCTGGCACAGCCATGTAGTGGTTCTCCCGCTCCTTTTTGCCTTGCCGTGTTACTACTGGTTGGGAGGATGACATGACAGAAACATTTACTTACCAGAAATGAAGCTCCAGGGAACAAAGGACTCTGTGTGTGGCTCCATAAGACTGGTGCAGTAGAGGGTCTGGCCCCTGTTGGGGGCGCAGGCTTCATTACTGCTCAGGCTGGCTACTGCTGTACCCTCTGCCCCGACTCTACCATTGTTGGGCAAAGCTAACAAGAGACAGGTCTCACAGGCACCTTGCACCTATGTCTCTTAGTCCTGTGAAGCCTGACAATCTGGACACAGGAGAAGCAAGGCCGTCTGAGTTCTTTGTTCCTGAACAAATCAGAGCCTAAGAGGACAGGAAAACTGAGTGTAGTGTGTTGTTCTTCAGTACATACCAGTGCTGTATGTCAAATGAGACAGGATGCAGAGCAACTGGGCCACGAAGACAGGCAGCAAACAAAACATTGATCCACTTAGTAAAGCAAGCACTTCTCAAATGACCTAGAGAGACACCACTCTCCCAGCAACAGCCAGAGCCAGCTTTGTCTGAGGGAGTGATGGGCTCCTGGGGAGCAGGGATTGAGCTATTAAAGAGGTTTGTGGCCCTACTCAGGCCAGCACCTAAGCAAACAGTTTCCCAGGGCTATAAAAAGCTGGAGGATTGGGAAACGCAATAAGGTACGCTCTGAGAAGCACGGTCCTGAGGAAATGATGTGGATTCATTCAGAACTGCCTGGCCTAGGAAATGGCCCAGGGTCACTACATCTGTTTATGGTCACAGTATGGGTGACAGCCATGTTTGTAAGGCCAGGGCCCTCCAGAGTCTGTCATGGAGTAGCTGTGTAAGGTGATACTTTGAGAACAGAAGGAAGATCAGGGTGGCCAGGCTGAGACAAGGGTAAGAGGCAGCACATGGAACAGCTTGGGGAACTGGAACTGCTCTGTATCTTGATGGCAATACTATCACATGACTTATTCCTCAAGAACCCAGACTTGGAAGAGGCTCCATCTATTAGTGGGTGGCAGCTCCAACAGGGTTCAGGTCCCAAACAGGATATGTGGAGTCAGTGGGGGAAGGAGGGGACTGGCACTGGGGTTGTGCAAATAATGGGAATCAGACACCAAAGTCTTTTAACCAGAGCAACTTTATTTCATCACTGCAGGGTACAAAAACTTCTAACTAGTTAGGGCCACAGGCAGGTAGGTATCTGGCTCTGTGACCCCGAGAAGGGGCCATAAGCATCTTCTTATAGCAAAAGACCATATGCTAATGGATGGGGAGTATATGCCTGGAGTCAGGATTTACAGCCTCTGGAGAGTGCAATCCTGGGGTGGAGATGGCCAGCAGCTCCACTTCAGCTTTGATGCTGCCTGGCTGGCTCATCATCTGCTCTTGGGACGTGGCTACAGGGCCCACTGCAGAGGGGGCCGGGGCCAGAGCTGCAGAGCCCGGGGCCACAGCCTCGGCTATCTGCCCTGTGGGGCAGTGCAGGGGGACAGTGTCCAGCAGCCTGACCCTGCTCCTGCTTGCCTCACCCCCCGACCTCCCCACCTCACCACCCACCCCACCCCTGCCAGCCTGCTTCTGGCTGCCACTTCATCATTCTCCAGTGGGGCTGGGACCGTGGCCTTCGCCCTGGCTCGCTCACAGCCTGCCTGGGCCTGGCTCTGAGATGGCTGGGGGTTAGAGGCGGGGACAACATCCCATGCATGGCTTGACTGGTGCATACCTCAGTGACTGGCCCGTGGGCTAGAAGGGGCTACAGGCTGAGGCTGGCCAATTAGAAAAGGGCAGATCCTATAGCCCTCCCTCCCACCCCCAGATATGCCAGGGCTTGTCTGGACTTGCCCTGACATGTCCAAAGATGCCAGAGCCAATCAAATTTAACTGCTGCTTGCTCAGCCAATCAGGTTTGTTGGAGATGACCTAACTGTCCCTGGAATTCCCCTAGCTGTGTATAAAAAAGGGAGCCTGAGACCTTCTCTCAGGGTTGCTGCCATTTCTGTTGGTGGCTGACCACAGCATGCTGGAATTCATTATCAAGAAATAAACATTCTTGCTTTTGCAGACATAAGTGGTGGTCTTTTGTGGGGTGACTTGTGGACCCTAACAGGGTCAGGATTTACAGCCTCTGGGAAGTTCCTCCTGGAGTCAGGATTTATGATCACTGGGGAGTACATTCCCCCCCACACACACCATTGGAGTTGGGATTTACAACCTCTGGTGGGTGTTAGTTCAAGATGTTTACATAGCCATGAGTCTGTTTTAACTGTTTTTCCCATATCTGGGGAGAATGTAGGGCAAAGGGTCAGGTAGCTTGTTTAAAGCAGCTATCAGCCCAAATACCCCTAGAATATGCATATAGGCTATAGGCAAACAATTCTTCATATTCCTGGACTCTTCAGCACGATCT